TCAATTTGTATTTTCTATATATATAATATTTTACAATATAATGAAAATGAGAAAACGATATAGGAGTGTTTAAAATATGGATCAACCTAAAACTTCGTGCAAATTCTACCTCGATTCTGTTATTTTTGCTTCTACACAGGGTAAATCTTTCATCATCAATACGTAACCATATAATATCAGTCTTATCCTAATTACTGGGAAGTTTGCTTTTGCAATCATTAACTATTGAATTGTGTTTTTTCATTAAATTTTACTTTATAAATGTTTATAAATATTTAAATCATTTAATTTTATTTTTCATAACTTATATCACATATTCTAGTCGTGCATTATCTCTAATATATCATTTTCTTAAATTGTCCTCAGAGTTTTGTTGAATATTAATCTTTTTCTCATATGTAGCATTTTGATGTGACATCTCTGATACAATGATTAAAGGAAATTCTCTTAGCTTATTCATGTTTCTAGACTAATCTGAATATTAAGATTTGATAAACATGCATAAAAGATTCCTTATAGACTGCAAGCTAGAAAAAATTTAACTTGTTGGCTAATATTCAATGTAGAGGAATTATAATGCAGTGCTTTAAATGCGTGACATAACGCTTCTACCTTGATGCAAATTGCAAAATTGATACAATAGCTCACTATAATTCATTATAAAAAGAAAAGCAAAGAAAGTATTCTTAAAGAACTTGGGCAAAAAATGATTTGGGGATGTAGAGGTGTAAACAAGTTGAGCCTGGCTCAACTTAGCTTGAGCATAATTTTAGAAGTTCGGTTTGGCTTATAAGCTGGCTCATTTATTATGAGCTAGAGAAAGAAATTATAATTCAGATGATTGCTTATAATACTGTAAAAAAGATAAGAAAATCGAAAAAGAAACCAGAAATCACTTAATATAATGAAGTAAAGTGAATTTGAAATATTTTTTTTCAGCAAATATGTTGAGTCTTGACGTGCTCAAGTTTAATTCGTTAGTTCATCGAGCTCCCCACATTAGACATTGTTGTTTGGTTTGAGTAAATTGAAAATTTTAAGATGGAAATGAAAATAACAAATAATTGAATTAAAATTTAGTTTTTTAGAAAAATTAAGTAAAATTTCACTTTATTTCAATTTGGTTGAAGGGAGATCTAGTTTTTTTAAGACATGTTGCATAGCCTTAAAAAGTTTTTTATCTTATTTTAATTATAGTTGGTATGTGAGTCACAATGATGGCATCATAATTTTTTTTTTGTATTTCTATTATAGTTGGATAAGGAATTGTCAAAGAAAAAAAATGTTATTAGCCTATGTAAAATCAATTAGCTTTTAATTATATTGAAACCAAACACTTTGTCTCTTGCGCAAAGTCCTAACCAAAACTGTATGTTGCGCAAAGTCCTCACCAAAACTGTCTGTTTCTATTATCCAGTAGTATTGAAGTTGGGAAAGCTGTTATAGAAGAGAAAATCTCCAGAGCGATTTAGACCAGAATAAAAAGCAAAAAAACTTGTAATAGAAAAGATTAATTGGTGCCTCTTCTGCTAATCCTAAATTATAGCATTTCGTAAGATGAAAAAATCTGAAAGCAGTGAACATTAAAATGTTTATTAATCTAAGAATAAGATGAAAATCCCATGACTGCAATCAAAATAAGAATTATTTCAAGCGTAAGAGGCTTCACTTTTGTCTGATTTGTGAGTAAACAAGAATTATACCATGTACAAGAAACCTACATGAAGATTAGGACTAAGAAAATGTGAAAATTATTTTCATGCGAACAAAGGACTCAACAAATACATCTGATTCTAAAATCCTCATTCCATAAGCCTCTGCTGCTAATTATGGATTGGATTTGATTTGCTTGGTGGAAGTATTTTTAAGCTTGCGTTGACAACTTTCTCTGGCGTTTCACTGCCTAAATACACACTACTCACATTCACAGAATCTGAAACCAAAGGCCGCAGAAACCTCCTTGCTGGAATCTCTTCTCCTTCAGACCTCCTTTGATCGGAGAATATGGAGTTTGGGCAGATTACAAAATGAAGAAGAAGTAGAAGAAGAAGAGTAGACATAGCTTGCATGAGAGCTTTCATAATGAGTTGATAAGGTGATTAAAGGAGGCCATGCGAAATTAATTTATATAGAACTTAGATATTAAATTTTGAAAGACAGTGAGAAGTGTGGACCACCAGCGAATTTATATTCAACAAAAAAGCTGAAGTTTATGAGTAAGCGACAACTGTCAGCAATATCTTCTACTATCTGATGGGAGAAGATTCATGATTTTACAATTACACCAAATTAATTACTATATTCATATACTTATCCATTTTAGAACTCATCTTTCACAGAGCCCAACTAAAGCTAATGCAAACAAATTCTTTTGTTTGTCCTTAGCTGAAAACTGTGTGAGAAGCAAACAAAAGATTAATAAACGCATAGTTTATAACGCCAGTTGTCATACAGATACAAAATGAAAATATTTGCTTCAGAAGATTCTGTAAATTTTGTCTTTTATGGGTCTTCTTTCATTTGACAAACATGTAGGCTTTGTTATCTGCCAAAGATTCTGAGATGTGGGTGAAAATGGAACATAATTTTTAGGAACTTGAGAAACTATTAATGTAGATAGCACATGCACAATAATAGTATCAATCTTGGAACTTAGCTTGTGTTTTAAATGAACCTTTAGAAAGTTAAAGAAGGCTGCATTTTAAAAGAAACTTTAGAAACCTAATCAAGGCATCATGAATTTTTTGTACATTATAAGGCATCTCTTCAAGCTTCTGTAAGATCTCATCAACCTTTATATAAACAGAAGCTACCACAAATTTGCTGGAAAGATTACTAATAAAGTTTACTGGGGTACCACCACACAGAAACAGGAGATTTAAAGCGTATCATAAGATGATTTTTCACTTTTTCTTTAATTGCTGGGTTACAAAACCAAGACCTCGAGAAGAATTAATGAGGTTTTTAATGTTGAAACATATCTGCAAGCATCTGCTCTATTTTCACTAAGTGGAGACAAGCATATCCAGAAAAAAAATTTCTAAAGACTTCTAATTTGTATTCTTCTTAGGATCACTTTGGATGATTTGGATTGAAAGAAATAAAAGTTGTAATGGTTTTTCTAAAATTGAAACAGTTCTTTGGTTTGATAATATGTCATTTACTTTATCATGGGAAGAATAGGGAGAATAGGAGGAAAATTGGATCAAAAAGAAATTTTTTTTGGAGGATTTTGATATGGAGGCTAATGTTTAGAAATACATCATCTTTTTGCTGTTTTTTATTTAGTTTTCAGCTTAAAATTTTTTTTTTTGAAAGATTTACATGCATACCATTTAATTTTTATGTATTTACATGTCTAATAGCTAAACTTTAATTTTTTACATAAATGCTGCTTTGCCTATGCATGAAAATGTGTATTTTACTTTTTAAAAAGTTAAAATAATTGTAATTTTCTTATGTGATAAGAAAATTTTGGGTGGAGAAAATTTTGGGTGATATATGTGGTGTAAGATATGTAAAAATGTAAATACACAAGCATTGGGTGGTACTTATGTAAATGCCTTGGGCGGTACTTATTACTTCAAATACATTGTAATCATAGTACTATGTAAATCTTTTACATTACATTTTATTTTTAGCAAACCAAACAGTTCCTAAATTAAATTTAACGTGTGCCGTAAGTTTTATTTTTTAATTAATAAATACTCTGAATCATATTTTTTCACATTTACAGCATCCAATTCTTATGCATCTACCTATGCCACACCCAAACTTTCATTTCTACTTATCAAGCATCCAACTCATTCTTTTTCACCACTCCCCAACATTGAAATTGATATTTTCACCCATAGATTGGGTGTTGATTTTATAAAAATGAGAGTTTTGATGTGAGATAAATAAATGCATAAGAATTGGACATTGTGCATGTAAATTTTCACTTCTAACTAAATAATTAAAAATTTAACTTTATTTTCACTCCTTATATTTCATCTACATTATTTGATATTGATTTGTTGAGTGCCATTTATTTGGTAAAAAAATGATGTTGAAAATTTAATTAATCAAGCCTCAAAATTAATGCAACTCTCCAACTAGTTCGATCATTTTATTATTAATTGTTTTTATACTCTAAAGTATTGTCGTTTTTATATTTAAAGAAAGCAAAATGAAATAATTAATGACTAGTGATATTTGAATTTTCTCTTTTCCTTTGCATGATATCAAAAGCATCAACGAGATGCCCTATAAGGCATCAGCGAGATGCCCTATAAAATTATTCCATACAGACAACGTATACAGAGATGCATAAGCTGTCAAATCTCGACAGTCGATCAGAGCAAATGTGTATTTCGGTGGGCCGATTTAAAATTTTTTTTTTCTAAAACAAAAAAACCTGATCAACGATCGAGCTTACGTGGTTCGTATGGAATATTTTTTTTCTATAAGACAACTTTGTAAAACTAGCATTGAATGTGATATGTGATATTTTTTTAAGGCAAACCTTTAATTTACATACATGCCACCCAATTCCTATGTATTTACATATCTAACACCTGAACTTTATTTTTTACATTTATACCAGTCAAAAATTTCATATCACATAAAATACACCTCCCTTTAACCTTTAACTTTTAAAACGTAAACTACACCTTTTTCATGCATAGGCGGAAGTTTCACCACCCTTTAACCTTTAACTTTTAAAAGGTAAACTACACCTTTTTCATGCATAGGCGGAAGTTTAGGCGTTAAATATGTAAATACAGAGGAATCGAGTGTTATGTATGCAAACCTTGCTAATTATTATTACTTATCCAGTTAGGCAATCTTACAAGTCCACTGCAACTTCTATCACCAAAAGCATCTGCCCATTTTATAAACATCACCTCATAAATCATTTTATTTTAAGTGTTTACAGGAAGATAACAGAAGGATGTAGCAGGTGTTGCAGAGAATAGAATAAAATGTAATACTAAACAATACACACACCAACACATTCGTTTGACATTATCAGTGCACTAAAAGATAATAAATCTAGTTTCCACTACATCTCATTAGCATGAAACAACCTTCATAATCAAGCATCCATAACAAAATTTCATTCTAACTTGCAAACATGTTAATATTGCAGATCAGACCATAATCAATTAACCCAAAATCTCATCAACTCAACTCTGATTGTCACTTGATTCCATAAACTTCAAACAAATATGACTCATCTTCTCTCCACTCAATCGCATCATATCGAAGCAGTCGAGCCAAGCACTGAATCAGCTCCTTCTGAATGACTTCATCAGCTGGAAGATCCAATCTTGTCTCCCTTCTCAAAGAAGTAACCCCTTTATCCAAAATCCCACAAGGCACAATATGGTTAAAATAGTTCAAATCCGGATCAATATTAAATGCTAATCCATGACAAGTAATCCCCAACGATATCTTCACACCAATAGCACCAATTTTCTCGTCTCCTACCCATACTCCCGTCTCACATTTACCGCCTGGTCGAGCGATCACGCCATACAAAGAAGCCAACTCGATCATAGCTAACTCGAGGGTTTCAACATACTTACGTGCACCTAATCCAATATCTCGGAGTGAAATAATGGGATATACAACAGCTTGTCTTGGGCCATGAAATGTTATGTCGCCGCCCCTCTCAGTGTAATGAAGCTCGGCACCGATGTTTTTAAGGTCGGCTTCGGGGACGAGTAGGTTATGAGATGTTCGTCTCTTTCCGAGAGTGTAAGTAGGGGGATGCTGAAGAGATAGAATTGTATCTGGAATTTTACCAGTTTTCCTATCAGAACAAAGTTTTTGTTGTAGTTGGAGGGCATCCAAGTAGTTGACAATTCCCATCTTCCAGACTTGAAGCTTCCTCTGTAGACTCATGATCCTCAAGTCCACGATATAGATGTCAAAAATCTGTGGGACAGAAATAGCAGAAAATGAATAGTTATAGATAAATGAGGCTTTTTTTAGTATGCCAAGCCAACATGTCATACAAAGAAAAGGGATCCTCCTGCATATGCTGTCATAACTTTGACAATCCAGACTGAGTTTCTGTTTCGATTATGGGATGAGTTTTGGTTTCGCTAGATTTGGCGGCTTTGGTGATTTTGATGTTCAATTTCGGTGTTGATTATTTGTTGCATTAAATGATAATATGGCTGTACTTTGACTATATAAAATAGTAGTCATCGAATCATCAAATGGTGAAATGCTTTTCTTATGGATCTATAATTTTTTTTTATAACTTTTAGGGTATGTTTGGCGCAGCTGCAACTTTCCAGCTTTTCAGCTGCGCTGCCCCAGAAAGCTGTTGCAGGGAAGTTGACTGTCTGTTTGGTACAGCTGTGTGAAAACAACTGTAGAGCAATTGTTTCTGGAAAACTGACCATACTGTCCCTATTTGATAAAACTGTTGAAACAAAGACTGCAACAACCGCATTTTTGAAACACCATAAACAAAATTTATTATGTAAGAAATTATTGAAACTTCAAAATGTTAAATATGTAAATATATGAAAAAAAAATGACTTGTTAGAGGAATGTATTAAATCCTTATAAATTCTCCACATATGAAGAGTGCATGACTCTGTAGCTAGAGAGGGGGAGAGAGAGAGAGAGGGAAAGATATATATCCACTTTAAGCCCAAAATTTAGACCACCATATCCTTCCAAACTTCAGAAGGATTAAATTAATATATATGCATCATTTCTTTCAAGCAGAGTACTTCTTTTCAACAGAATAATTCTTATAAAGCCTCCACATATGAAGAGTGCATAACTCTATAGAAAGAGAGAGTGAGAGAGCGGGGAAAGGAAGAAATAGGCTTCACAAATCCACATATTTGCAACATAAATAACTGAACAATTATCTTTTAAAAGCCATACAAGTTTCTATGAAAAAATCTACAAATATTCATCAACTAGAACACCTCGATCCCGAGCAATGAAGGAAAAATATTTTTTTTTCCACAGTACTTACCAAAGCCATACCGCACTAGTAATATGAAATCCATTCAACAACTAAAATTTTCACGCCAACTTCATTCTACACTATAGACAAGCAGTTAAACAGCCGCAGTGGAAATAAGATATGGTAAATTAATTATATGCGCTTCAAAGACCGGGAACATGAATATTTGTTCCTCTTTGACAATCAACCCATACCAGGATCATGATGAGAAGAAACGGGATCAAGATGAATATTAGTTCCTCTTTGAGAATCAACCCGTAGGCAAGGGTTGAAATTTTGTTTTCATAGAACTCACCAAACAAGAAAAACGAGCCACTGTGTTGAGAAGAAGCATTCGCATAGGATCAAAATCTAACATCACAAATTTATTTTTTCGCAGAACTCATCGATTCCAAATCTAACATCAAACATCCATAAAGAAGCATTCGCATAGGATAAAAAATTCTTACAGCAGGAAACCGAGGAGGAACAGAATGGAGAAAGAGGACAGGGCAAAGATGAAGAGAAACGCGAGCAACGCGAGAGAAGACGAAGGAGGGGGGAAGGACCACAACGCTTGTTTTCGCATAACAAGCCGAATAAACGCAGCAAAGAAACCTTAAGCAGAATCCGATCGAGGGCAGCTGGGGTAAAAATCAATCGCGGAACGCCGACAGCAGGGCTGATCACGCGGCCCGCTTTTTGCCAAAATGCTCGCAGCTTCACGGTTGAAGCTTGTCTGCCACCCGCTCAAACGATTAAACTTCGCGGTGGGGTGCCGGGAAGTTCGTCTGCCGCGCTCCCAAACAGACCCTTAAGCTTTAAATATAGGAGGGTGCCAGCATATTACCATTATGTATCCTGTACAAGGTTTTTCATCTCTCTCTCTCTTTCCTTCTCTCCCCCCATACTCACACACACATAAACACGCGCGCACAGACACACGCATGGAAAATTAATCTTCAACATAAAAATATAATCTAAATATATAATTGGATTGTCATTTCTCTTTCACGTGATATTTCCTTTTCTCAATCTCAAATTATAGTGGCAATAAACTATATTTTATAATTTCTCGATTTCCAACCATTTTCTTACCCCTCAAGAAGGAGAGATTATTGGGTGCGGACACCGCATGCATCTCTGCATGCGGTATTCAATCCTGACCGTAGATCACGGTGATCTACGGTCAGGAATATTTCCGTTTAAAAAAATAAAAAATAAAAAATTTTAGGTGGGGCCCACCGAAATACATCAGGACCGTAAATCATGTGATTTACCTCAAATTATAGTGGCAATAAACTATATTTTATAATTTCTCGATTTCCAACCATTTTCTTACCCCTCTAGAAGAGCACAATATGGTTAACAATTTCGAGGCTTCTTCCGACCTTTGTAAAGACCACAATTCACTTAAAATAGTAATAAAAAAAACTTAAATTATGAATAGTTATTCAATACTAATATATAAAAAATAACTGATGATAAATAAATATCATGAGTGCATTTTTCAATAGACCTTTGGACAGTTCCAAAATCTCTAGTCTTTAGCCTATACCTCTCCACCTATGAATTTAAAATATTTTCAAATTTAAATTAATAAACAAATATTAGTTGAAACATTAATTCTTATATAATGTTAGGTGATATAATTAAAAGTGAAAAGAAAACTAGCTTCCTAGTTTACTACCAGACATTATTTACTCCATCATTAGTTCTAGATATCATAGTCTTTATATAATTTCACGATCCCCTGACATTCTTTTGCATATAATATTTTACGAATGAAGTCCAGATCGTATTGATCAATTAAACTTTAACTAGCTTACAAAATGAATTTCGCCCACATGTTTGTGGCATCAAAATTACCCAAGGAAGGCTATTTGATGAAAATGATAAGCAGCAGACACAACGAAACACGAATGAAGTCCAGATAGCATTGATTGCCTTCAAGATTGCCTGAATGATGTTTGTTTGCAAAGGTGACTGCTCGAACACATATGGGGCATCAACATTATGCAAGATGAGACTTTCCATGATCGAAATGATCAAACATCGTGAGGACAATGGATTGCAAGCATGATGAGCTCAATTTGAACTTGACATGCCTCTATTTTATGAATCAGTACATTTGTTAAGTTATGATTTATATGCTTTTTTTATGAAAATTTATTGTAACTTTATAAAATATCAAATTTTAAATCAAAACCAAAGTACAATTTTCCAAAAATTTTCACAAAAAATAGTTATATATATATA